TATCCAATACCTATGATCATCTATATGATCATCAATCACACATCATACTAGTCTTAGTATATCATTATTCTCACAATGATACATGACTAGGGAGTTTAGTATTGTTCATAACAATACATGGATTTCATAACATATCAAGTATGCACAGTACGTAATGAATCAAACACTCATCCATAAATCATAGAAAGCGTCAATACATCAAATGTATCCAAGTAAAGCTCGCAAACAGTACATCATAGAGCACTAAACCAATAGTAATGCTCTAGGATGATCCGTGACATGACATTTTGACTTTGTATTGATTCATTGGTTTATGAATGCATTACTCTTCCCGTTATATGATTGGCATGTTTGTTATATTTCGGTATCCTTGAATCATTAGAGAATGATTCTAAACTCCCTGATCAGTTATCATTGTGGGAACAATGATGAATTAAGACTAGCATGAGGTTGATCGATGCATTGGATGCATATCACAATCATGGGTACTCGTTGTGAACGAGTGACTGGATGACCCGCATGAGATTATCACATGGACAGAGTCATAACTTGAATCTCATACAGCGGTTCGTTCTTGGATTCTCATACCTGAGATGTCTAGAGTATCTGATATGAGGAGTTGCGTGTCTTGACTGCGTCAAACGTCGTCTTTAACGGGATGATTATAACGGGCTTGATCATATACGTTCATGAATCATATAGAGATAATAGACATGCAATATGGGACTTGTCACCTCCTCAACAGGAGAGATATCGCTGGGCTCTCTCGTAGAAGTCGGACTATGAAAAACGTGTGGCCACGCTATAGATGAAGTTGCATCTATTATATTAGTCGATTTGCCAAGACGAGAAAGCGGTTGAACTTGAAGGGTGGCTCAAACCATGCCCTTGTTCAACATATGATATAGAGACAAAGGATCAGAACTCAAGCTGCTAATGCCTTGGTTAGATCACCTCTAACTCAATTCTAAGTGGATGGTCATGGAGTCTTACTAGATGCTAACCATGACTTGTGGTTCGGGAAAGGTTCCCGAAGTCACTAGCACTTAGAATGGGCCTACAGGGTCACACACCACTAGGGATGGACTTATACGTGAAGAATCCGGAGAATGGAAATGAGATTTGACTGAAACGAGCATGAAAAAGGATTTTCAGTGTGTTGGTCCGGAGCTGACCAAGTTTTGGTCAGCCCCAGACTTGGTCAGCCCCAGACCAAGTTTGATTAGCCCAGGAGGTCTGGAAGTCAGTCCAAGGTCGTCTGTCCAGGTCTGGTCCGGCTAACCAAAAGTTGGTCAGCTCTGGACCAGACGCTGGCTCAGGCGGACCGAGGAGCTAGCAAGTCAGACCAAAAGAGAACCAAGAGGCTTGGTCCGGAGCTGACCAAAACTTGGTCAGTCGGACCAAGCCTCCAGGTCAGGCGGTCCGAGAGGTTCGGACTAAGCTTGGTCCGGCGGACCGGGATCTGGGATTTATCATAAAATTCGGATTTAGAATTTTCTAAGCTTATTTAAGTTTGGGATTCCGTCCAAACTTAATTAAGGTCGCCCTAAAACTCAGAGAGACATCTAAGAACCCTAGAGAATTCATTCTTTTCATTTCTTCTCGGGATTAGATCTGGTCTCTCGAGTTACCCTTTTCTTCACTAATCCTAGCAGATACGTTCCAAATTGTTTGGAATCCTTCCCGTCGATGTGGATACGTGTAGAGGGACTGTAACTTCAGTCCTAAGTGATTAAGAACAGGCCCCGGATCGATATTTGATTCAAGTTTCATCTAGAACGAGGTAAGTAACGATTCCCTCGGTGATATACACGATCTTTCGGGTTTTACCAAGTTTAGTTGCGTGTGACGTTTGACTAGGTTTAGATCTTTCTTCCGCTGCATGAAACCTAGTAAACCAAACCCTAGATCGATATGATCGCATGCTAGAAACCCGTAGATAAACCCAACAAATATATATACAAGAAACAAGCAAAGAACAATTTCGAGCAAATCAACAGATGATATAGACAAAACACGATAAAAGCTCCCACTAAGATGATAACCCTCGATATCTTCTTATGGGTACTAGGATCACAATTCCAGAACATAATCCTCTGGTCTGCTTTGGTATTACCCCTTAAGATTATACTAATCAGGTAGACAAACAATTTGTCAATCACATCCAGTGGGATTCCTAGCAATCATGAGATCATAGTATCACATACTATTGCTTCTTGTATCTCATCTTGTACCATTGAGTCCAAAACCCTTTTGATGACTCAATTAAGTCCAAACCAATTTCGAGTTCATGAAATGAAATAACTTGGTACACCTCAGGTGAAACCTATACCAAATTATCTCTTCTATCCCACCTCACAAAGATAACTCGGTGCACCTCGCGTAGGCAAAACCTACACACGGAAGACGACGGCCGAAAGGGAGAGAGAGAGTTCGAAATTCTCTTCTTTTCTTAACCTAAAATTATGTTTCCTAGACATAATTATAAAGAGATTATAGTTTCATTAAATCCATTGGACCTAATATGTCATAACATAATCCATTAGCCTCTTTCAATAGGTGTTGAGTTTATTATTTTATAATTAAGCACATTAACCTTATCATCAATTATATGGACCCATTAAACCACCTAAATCTATCCAATAGAATTTTAATCAGTTTCGCAAACCGATCGTGATCAGAACACCATATCCATCAGTCTGCCGGCGAACTCAGGGTATGAGGATCGCAACCCGATTGTCTTGGTTCGGAAAGAAATGTCGACGTCCTTTTGTAGTGAAACAAGGCCTCAGAACATAGGCATTGTGAATCCTCGAATTTCTTTCGGTCCAAATCTTGTAGGCTAGGATTTGCCAAGTGATGCAAGCCCCACTGTACTTTAGATTGCAGTCCCATCTATTAAGCAACCAATCAGCGATATTTCTCCCTTCAAGTGTCGAGAGACTATCCCAAACTTTCACAAGAGAGGAGAACAATTCACCAAGCATGAGGCATTAAAAAAAATCATATAGACATAAATTAATCGGTCCTAGAGACATAAACTCTAACATTTGTTTGTTTGTTTTTTTTTAATTCACCGTAAAATTCGGTAGATTTAATGGAAAATTATTCAACAAAAAAAAACAATAACTAGGTAATAATATAAACGCGTTCTCGACCGAAAACATATACAAAACACAAAAAAAAAAAAAAAAGTTGTGGTGGAAACCTGCATCCCAACGATCCAAGCAGAACACGGAAGCATACGGAACAAAACATGCACTAAAAAAAGGTATTTGTGGATGGGATAATACTAAAATATTCCAAGTCAATAGTGGCATATGTTCATATGTTAAATATTCAAAGTCAGCAGTTGTCAAAAAACTGATGAAGTCTGCATGGAAACAAATACAAAAAAAAAAAAAAAGTGGTCAAAGCACAAAAGAGCACTTACCACTACAGAGACCCACTTCACCAACACCCACCACCACATCGACCCATTTTCACACGTTACTCATCGAAGCTACTAGAACTACGTTCATTGCTTATAAATACCCATCCAACCCTCCGAAACTCTTCAACACAATAACATATGAGTTATCGTTAACTACATTCATTCTCAGGATAGTTTTCTCGTGTATATTCCCTTGCAATCAAGGTTTTCTTGTGGTTCTTGACAATGGCGCGACCCAGACTTGCAGCCATTACTTTCCTGGTTTTGCTTGTTCTTGACCTATGCTTTGCGGCTAGGTCGCCGAGAACGTTCGGTCGAGCAGGCGGGGGTGGTGGAGGAGGCGGTGGGGGCGGTGGGGGCGGCGGAGGAAATGGTCTCTCCGGTGTAGGGTCAGGTTCAGGGTATGGCTCTGGCCGTGGTTCTGGATACGGTGGAGGCCGAGTAGGAGGGGGTGGAGGTGGAGGTGGAGGTGGTGGTGGCGGTGGCGGAGGCGGAGGTGGGTCGAGCTCAG